TTCTCCCACCGTCGAGAGGAAGCCCCAGGTACCCCGCTCCTACGTCCATCTAGCTAGGTTTTTTGACCGGTAAACTGCCCCTCACCGTGTTTATTTACTGGAGTGACCTCTCCAGGGGCGGGTATAGATAGAAGAAAGAAGCCAGGGGTGCCCAAGCAGCTGGCTTTGTGAGACAGCTTCGTCTGGCCTCTTCCCGTTGACCTTTCAGGCATGACTGGATCTACGGCTGTGAAAAGCCATCATGTGTAGCTCGCAGGGTCATAGAGGCACGCAAGCCATCACACCACGTCAAGGTGCAGTCTCGTCGTGGGCAAACAAAAGACAGGAACCAAAACCGGCGCACGAAAGTGCATGGTTAGTGGTTGTAAAAACTGAACTGAACTGAATATAAAATAAATCTGTAGCTCGTCCCTATTGATTTCATGCAATTCTAATATGTGATGTCTTACCGCAACTTTTTACCTGTTTCATTGATTATAGCACTCTACTTATTGGATTTCAGTCCAAAGAAACCTATGCCCACCTCAGTTTTTGGATTATCACTGACCCTACACTGAGATGCATTATGGACGTCCTGCTGTCACATAAAGCGAGAAAGTCCACGTACTCAGACCTTCTTTTGGGTTTTATCGTACCTGTTCTTCTTATTAAGACAAAAGACCACGAGATGGCACTTGACATTATCGTTCCCACCTCCCTGCTGTTTATAGTCATCAGCCGTGCAAATTCAGTGTTCTTTATCTCAGTTGGAATGTACACCTGTGCAATCGTGACCAGTTTAGTTGAATCAATGTTTTCATTGAGACCCATTTTCATCCTTGGATTTGTTTTCTCTTCTACCTACAATCTGCTAAGGTTACTCCCACAAACATTTACTTTTGGCGAGGCTCTACTAATTTCCCATTTATCCACCGTATTCATTCAGAGGTCATCTCTTTTCTGCCTGGCTTTTGTTAGTTTCTTTGTGATTGAACGATACTCTTTATCAGTTTCCGTGGATTCGTTGATTTCACTTAGTTGTCTTGTTAGTACAGCTATGTTCCTTTTATTTCGCCTTTCACCATCATTCTTCATGTTCTACAAACTGGAACTAAAGCGATTGATGTGCTACTTAAACATTCAGAGTGTTTTCTTAGTTTCATTTTGGATGATATTGTTCGTGGGTTGTGTTGCTGTAGTGTGGGCTTCTCGGCTCTTGAAAAAGGAGCATCCAGAATTCTTGCCAGAAGCTATCGAGGATAAGTTACGGACTGTCCCTTATGAGGCCGTACCACCCTCGGGGATGGATTCCATCGAGGTCGGAAATGATTTACATGTAGAAGAGGTTGAAGATAAAGCCATTGACAGTCCGAATCCAGAACCGGTGTCGATTAAAAACATCAATCCTGCTCCGTATAAAACACCGTCGTGGATACGAAAGGTGTTTCATTTTGCTGCTGGTCTAGTCTA